AAATTTGCGTCGGGTTATGACCAACTCGGGATACGCCCGGAGTCACGGAACGGATTAAGTTCGTATCCTGAGGTACCACTGTATAGGAATAGCAGTAAATTACAGACCGCTTTGAAGAGTTACAAAGAACATGTATATGACAGCCAGGAAAGGTTGCTGACCTTGGTATATGGAAGTATGAAGTCTGTAGGATTGCTATCTTAGTTTTTTGGAGTTGCATTTATGTATAATACTAGGTTAGGATTTTTTAAAAATGGTGGATTGAACATGCCGTAATAACCTGATTCACATAAAATGCTAAGACATAATATTCACATTAAGTTAAAAGAAAAATCTATGATGATAATATGATGCTTGAATGTAGTAAAAGAATCATGTGCCCAAATTTTCTGAGTAAAGCTTTTCTGACCTGGTAAAACTAGGTCAGAAAAGTAAAGCTGGATAATACAGGTTAGGGCTATGCAACCCATTTGGAGACTTCACTTTGTTAGCAGTCCTAAGAGAAGTGTATCCTGGACAATTCTCAAGACCTTTGACGTAGCCATGCTAAATCTTTGGAAGGCACAGCCACTTTAAGGATGTCTCTCCAAATGTTTTGCACAGCATGAATAAGTATAAATTCTATTCTATCTTGAACATACTGTTTTTCAAATAAATATCCTTAGAATTGGTCTTTGTTTTTATTGTTATTAAATTAGCTACATGGCTAAATAAAGAACTAGCTTTTTTTACATGCTGAAGTTGATAAAAGTTAATTTTTAAAGTATATTCATCATTTGTTCTGATTGCATCCTACTATGTTGATCCCTGGTTTCATGTGTTATGGTTGATACACTAGGATTCCATGGGAGGCCAAGAACGTTGCCATGATAGTTGGTTTCCAGGGAATAATTTGGTGTCTAACATGCGTCACTTTATTAACTATGTGCGGGTACGAGTACCAGAGACAGCGCCAGAGGTAAAAAGAGAACCACCTGCAAGTACAAGCTCTGATGGCTTAGCGACCTCTCAGGTAAAGTTGAAACCTCTTTTTCTGGGTTACTGTAGTAATTTTAGGTGTTTAAGTTCAGATTTTAATCTTTTTATAAGGAGTTCAAGTAAGCTCTGCTTAAAGTATATTTTTCTCTGTAACTGTCTATATACATGGTGTTTAACAATATGATTCTTAGGGATTTTTTAATATCCTCCTTTTTCCTCCAACTTACCAGAATCCAAGGCGATTTAAAGGACTCCAGAGAGAGGTAGATTTGTGTGTATTTTGTATTCTGATGCAATGTTGCTTTAACTATGCTGACCCTAACATTATTGCACATCCACAATCCTTTCAGAATACTGAGAAACAGTAGTCCTTGAAATATTCTGATGATTATATTAAAAGATGTATGAGTGTAGTCCTTTGGTTTGGCTCCAAATTCATTATGCCAGCTGCCAGAAATAATAGGTAACCTGTTAATGGAATATATGCTAGCTTGCTTTGTTTGAGTATGTGTGACTTTTTGTTGGAAGTATTGCTAATGTTTAATAATTTTGCTGTTCAGCTTTCCCCTTGTTACATGTTAAAAATACACATTTGCTACATGGCAAACTAAAGAAGCTGTTCAACAGATTGATTGAATAGTTTGTTCTACAGCCTACCAAGCCAACTGTAATGGTATGTGGGAATGACCTTGAGATACTGGGCCCATAGACGCTGCCTAGGGAACAGTCAGATAAGAGACAGCATAGTCCATAGCTAGATGGTGGGCGGGGCAAGAGGCTCAGAAGAGACCCTCCCTGATTTCTCGTGTAAAGGAGATGGGGGGAGAATTGTACTTTCTGACTTGCAAGATTCTTTAATGTAGCCTTACAATAAAGTAGAATTAGCTCATCTGGTTGTGTTTCCTGTCTGGTCTACCACCCCCTCAAGATTCTGAGCAATTTACAAATATATACATTTAAAAATTTCCATGAAACATAGAACACAAACATATCCATGTTGTCAAATCCAGGTCAAAAAAGAAAGAACATCCAGAAATGGCAGCTCAATGTTACCATTACAGTTCAAAAGCTCCTCTGAACAAGATTGTTTTAACCACCTAGTAGGCAGCCAACAGCAAAAGAGTCAGGTGCACCTTCTTTAGTTTTAAGGCTTGTTTTCCTTTGTGAAGAACCAAACACTTTTGGAAGTTTAGCAGCTGTGCACTGGCTAGAGAACTTTAAAATATCTTTTGGTCCTGGAATGCTGCAAAATGACCCAAAAGATGAGTAGTTTCCTAGCTTCTTCAATAAACCATGTTTAGCAGTGCATGCAAATGCAGCTAGAATCTTTATACAATCAAAGCTTGGCTTATGGATTAGATCAGTGTAAATGTAGAAGGCTTGCTCCAGAAGGGAAAGATGGGATAGGACCATCTGATCCTTCTCCTGACTGCATTATCTGGTGTAGCAGTTGAGAGACTTATGTGCACATTAGTCTTACAGAGCATGTAATTCATTTTAGTTGCATTTGCATATAATGCTTAGCTAGGATTTTTGAAAAAGCATTGTTTAATCAGCTATTATGGCCTGATTTACACACAGTGCTAAACTGTTACAAGTTAGTTTCCATGTCCTGCTAAACCAAGCACAAGCATACAACATTATGGTTTAATGTTATATATAAACCATGCCTTTCAGATTACAGCATTTTTCAGTTGCCAGTTTCATTGTGTTTTAGATTAAATTAAAATAGCAAATAAGAATTCTTTTGAAGGAAATTAACCAACAGATTGAGCAAATTTTGAGCAACAAAAAATTGATGTTTTGTTGTTGCTGCTAAAATGTTTTATTAAAAATGGTTCTGTTATCTGATACAATGTTTATATTTTATTTTAAGAATTCAGGGACTGCACAAGTGTTCAGTTTGGTTGCAGAGCGTCGAAAGAAATTTCAGGAGATAATTAATCGCAATACTACTGAAGCTAGTCAGGCTGTTCGACCAAAATCTTCAATGAAATGGTCTGCTCCTGGTGCAACTCCTCAACTAACAACAGCTATCTTAGAAATCAAAGAGAGCATATTGTCTTTGCTTATTAAGCTTCATCATAAACTGTCAGGAAAGCAAAACTCTTACTATCCTCCTTGGTTAGATGACATGGATACTTTAATTCAACATGAAAACCCAAAATATTTTCATGGGGATGGAATGACTGCTGTAGAAAGGATTTTATTAAAAGCTGCTTTTCAAAGCAGATTAAACAAACACATCATTGAAGAAATATGTAGAAGAGTGACTCCAACTGTGCCACCAAAAAAGATTAGTCCAGCAGAGAAGAAAACTTTGGACAAAGAAGAAAGGTAATTTTTTGAAATGTTGGCAAGAGAAGCATGGTGTAATTATTTTGTGCTTAAACTGTTAATGTTGCCTTATTCCGCATTTGAAAATTTCTTATAAAGAAGTGGGTTGTAGGTAAAGACCTCATTATGGGTAAGGATCTAATTTAATCATGATTTTAGAATTATACAGTACACCTTCTAGTAATTAGCAAGTTTGGCTTTTTCAGATGATAATAAAACCTAAGTTGCCTTAAAATTTATTTTCATGCATTTCCATCATTACAGCTCTTAGTGGGATCTGAGAATATGCAAATAAAACCAGGTATATTTACTTTCCCACAAAATATTAATGGCATGCCTGATTCAGATGGAATGCAATTTCTTAAAGCCAGCATGAGAGTACAATACAAATTCTCTCACTATACTATTCCTTTTAATGCCACTGTACCCTGCCATTCTGAATCCAGTCATGAGTGGTTTCATTAATTAGGAGCAAAATTAAAAATTATTTGAAATATTTTGTAGTTTTGAATGACAGAAAAAGATATAGTAGAGCTAAAGTTAAAAAAAAAAGACAAGAAAAGGCCCCTGCATACATATTTCAGTTAAAGATAAATCCTATATCTGATCTAATAGCTAACCACATTGTTAATGGCCATCTAGTAAAATGCAGGCATATAGAAAGGCGTGTGAACATCAGCAGAGACTGGCTCTGGGCTGTCAAGACCTGTGGAGCTAAATGTCCACTGAATTGGAACAGAAGTAAATACATGGTGAAAGTGAGTTTGGTCAGGGTGCAGACAATAATCAGATGAATCAGAAGCAGATACCTAGTTAAAGGTGATAAAGTTCAAGATCCATAGTGGCAAATTTCTTGCATGAGATGGTTGTTCATGAACATATGATGGCAACATGGTAACTGGACTTCATATGTGACTGCACAAGGAGGTGCCTTACTAAACCAGTTTTGGCAGCCTTTCAATAGACTGAAGACTATCGTGTTTGAATTGGCCTTGAAAAAAAAATACAGGTGGTTCTCACTTAATGACCACTTGTTCAGCGGCCAGTCCTCATACTTATGACAGTTGCAGTGTCCCCACAGTCACATGGTTGCCATTTCCAACCTTTGCCAGCTTCCTACAAGCAAAGTCAATGGGGAAGCCAGCAGGAAGTCACAAATAGTGACCACGTGATGAGTATTCCCTGGAGTGAGGGTGATATGGCTGAGGTGAGAGGCCTTCTCTATGGTAGCCCTCACTCTTTAGAACTCTTTAGCCCAGAAGTCTGTAAAGCTTATTCCCTTGTGGTTTTTAGATTTTTAAACAGCTTTATTTCAATGAGTCTTCAACTCTAGGTAATTTTATTGGTGTCCATCTTAAGGAAGAATTATTATTACTGTTGTTTTTCATTATTTTGGTTTATTTCTGTTGTAGTTTGTAAAATGTTATTGTGTTATAAGCCTTCCAGAGTATTTTGAGTTCAGTGAGCTATAAAACTATAAAATAAATAAATTGCAATCCCTTGTCTAGCAGCTTTCAGATGTATCAGTTGTTGCTGTGTTCTTATCAGCAGTGATACGACGAATCTTCCATTTTAAAGTAACTGTTTTTAATTTTGTCATTACAACAGAATATTATCCAAAATTGATAAACAGAAATGCCAGAGAGAAGAGCAGAGTGATTTTTTGTTGTTGTTGTTGATCTGTTGAATAGGTTAGGCCTTCAAACACTTATTAGTAGTTTTTATGTCCAATGGTACTTGGAGGGACAGTTAGAACATTTTACCAAAATGGCAGAAAGATCTGACATGGCAATTTAAAAATTATTTCCTACAGCAGGAATATATAAAGTGGCTGCAGCTCTGACAATATTCCAGATAAAAATGACAGTGCCTCTATGAGAACTTCAAATCTTAAAAAGAGTGTAATCTAAATTTGTAAAAAGTATTTTAGTGGTGTCATGCTGTGTTTCCAATGTAATGCTGTAAGTAGAAAAGGGGCCAGTACATGACAGCTAGTTTCCTGGAGCAAACTAGTGGATGTAAAGATTTGTTACGATTCACTGTAGGTGCTGTGACACCCCCACCCCCAGATACAGTCAGGTCCAGAAATATTGGGACATCGACACAATTCTAACATCTTTGGCTCTATACACCACCATAATGGATTTGGAATGAAACAAACACAATGTGCGTTAACTGCAGACTGTCAGCTTTAATTTGAGGGTATGTACATCCAACTCAGGTGAACGGTGTAGGAATTACAACAGTTTGCATATGTGCCTCCCACTTGTTAAGGGACCAAAAGTAATGGGACAGAATAATAATCATACATCAAACTTTCCCTTTTTAATACTTGGTTGCAAATCCGTTGCAGTCAATCACAGCCTGAAGCCTGGAACGCATAGACATCACCAGACGCTGGGTGACATCGACACAATTCTAACATCTTTGGCTCTATACACCACCATAATGGATTTGGAATGAAACAAACACAATGTGCGTTAACTGCAGACTGTCAGCTTTAATTTGAGGGTATGTACATCCAACTCAGGTGAACGGTGTAGGAATTACAACAGTTTGCATATGTGCCTCCCACTTGTTAAGGGACCAAAAGTAATGGGACAGAATAATAATCATACATCAAACTTTCCCTTTTTAATACTTGGTTGCAAATCCGTTGCAGTCAATCACAGCCTGAAGCCTGGAACGCATAGACATCACCAGACGCTGGGTGACATCGACACAATTCTAACATCTTTGGCTCTATACACCACCATAATGGATTTGGAATGAAACAAACACAATGTGCGTTAACTGCAGACTGTCAGCTTTAATTTGAGGGTATGTACATCCAACTCAGGTGAACGGTGTAGGAATTACAACAGTTTGCATATGTGCCTCCCACTTGTTAAGGGACCAAAAGTAATGGGACAGAATAATAATCATACATCAAACTTTCCCTTTTTAATACTTGGTTGCAAATCCGTTGCAGTCAATCACAGCCTGAAGCCTGGAACGCATAGACATCACCAGACGCTGGGTGACATCGACACAATTCTAACATCTTTGGCTCTATACACCACCATAATGGATTTGGAATGAAACAAACACAATGTGCGTTAACTGCAGACTGTCAGCTTTAATTTGAGGGTATGTACATCCAACTCAGGTGAACGGTGTAGGAATTACAACAGTTTGCATATGTGCCTCCCACTTGTTAAGGGACCAAAAGTAATGGGACAGAATAATAATCATACATCAAACTTTCCCTTTTTAATACTTGGTTGCAAATCCGTTGCAGTCAATCACAGCCTGAAGCCTGGAACGCATAGACATCACCAGACGCTGGGTGATGTACAAACCCTCAAATTAAAGCTGACAGTCTGCAGTTAACGCACATTGTGTTTGTTTCATTCCAAATCCATTATGGTGGTGTATAGAGCCAAAGATGTTAGAATTGTGTCGATGTCCCAATATTTCTGGACCTGACTGTATATAAAAACTAAAGAGATAATAAAACAACAAATTAGGGATGAATTAGAGAAGAGTCTTTACATGAGAACTTTTTACATGAGAAGTATAATCCAATTGAATCTTTTGGATATAAGATTCAGGGAAGCACTTTGAACAGATCAGTGTTGTCCATGTGGGAATTGTCAGGTAGAAAGAGTCATGTTGCTGTGTTGCTTGCATTACCGAGATGTATACTGTACCATAAAATTATGTCCCTTTGCTAGCTAAGTTCCCAGGAGGGGTTGTGAGGGATGTGAGTTTTCCTGAAAAATTTGAATTGGAAACTTTTCCAACAAAAATGGGTATGTTTTAAGTAACCATGTTTGCCCCAATATCCATAGCTTGAACAGGTTTATAGTCAGTGTTGTTTGATGTGCAAAAAAATACATCTAACCTATTGTCTATAGTTTGAACCTTATACTCAAAGAAACCAAAAGCTTTCATATGGGGAGAAAAAAGATTTCAGTGAGAACACTGAAAACAGTATTGGGATGTAGAATAATATGTATTTTTATGTTTGTTTTTTTTAATAATCACCTGAAAAGCAAGCATCGTACAATTTTAGTATAGTCAAACTTGCATAAAATGGAAAATTTTCCATGGAAAATTGGGTTCCCAGAACACAAAACCACATTTCTGATCTGAGGCATGTTATACAAAAGTTCTTAGAAGACTATGCCAATAGAGAACAGGTTATGTCAACATTGTGTGCTAAATCTTTTGTAGTATGTAAAATCGTTGCACAGACATTACTTTGTTTCACTGAACATGAATCATAATAAAGTTCTATCTGTTAATGCTGCCTGCAAGTGCCATCTATCAGCCAGGAAGTTGAGAAGCTCAGCTATTGTTGTTGATGCTAGAAGAAAAACCTGGCAAAAAGAGGCTGGATGACCTATTTTCTAGCTTATTCATCTTAGGCAAACTTGGCATTGCCTGCAGAATTTGTTGCTATAGGAACTAAGGCATAGAGAAGAATTTAGCTGGGTTGCTTTGTAATACTTTCAGTCTTTCTGTGTGGAGAACCCTCGGGGCATTGCGGAAAATTACTGACTTGTACTGATTCTGTCAGTTTGTTTCTGTCTCCTTATTAAGGGTCTCTATTTACAGTTAGCCTGTTTAAGAAAGGCATAGCGGAGAGAGATATCTTGGGAAAACATGAATTGCCTCATATTCATGATACAAGCTTCCTTTGAGCGATTACAGTTTACTTGTGTGTTGAAAACATGTTTAGTTCCCTTCCCATTTGATACCTCACAATGGTACTGTTCCATATTTGTGAGCATTGTATTTTT